CCTCTTCTGTGTCAGAACCTGGTCATTTCTTACAGAGTTATTTTAGTGTGCTGTAAGGGCTGTCCCACATCTGTAGCCAGGCTGCTAGGCTGTCCTTAGCAAAAGCCTCATTTCCTTGCTTTCTGCAGAGAAAACTATTTATCTGCCAGACAGCCCCCTTCGTGGCAGCACAGTATTGTTAAGATGTCTCCTTTTAATTTCATTTAAACCCTTTTATATCTTTTAAAGTGCTAATGCTTTAAGGCACCCACAGTTACCATTTTTCTCGTTTTGAATTCCTTCAGAGGAAGAGCCTTTCTTGGTAAATGATATTTCAGTTTCCATGGTGCTCCTTGTTACAAGTAGCTGCTCTTTTCATCACCAAATGGTGCAATTTTCATTCATGCCCGGATATCAATGGTAACATATAGCAGCAAATTGTTCCTTTATGATCCTGGGCATTGTGGAAACTTTCCTGCTTAAAATTAAACGTCAAGGAATTTAGCAAGTATGAAAAATTTGTTTTTTATGCCCACACACATAGACAGACACGTGCTCCTCCTTCCATCCCTCTCTGCACCCAGGCATTCGTCTTCCCTCCTTACCATAAGGAGCTATTAATATGCTATCAGCAATGCTTCCTAAAAAGTTCAGCTGCAGGGCCAAGGGGGTGGTGTTCCCTCCTGCACCCTCTGCCAGAGCCAGCGAGGTGTTTTGTATTCAGGCTGCTCGCTCCCAGGCTCTGAACTTGAGCAGCTCATTTTGGGAATGATAGCAGCCTTGCCAGCCCGCTCCCTTCCATTACTCAAAGTGTTGCTTTGCCATTCCCCGTGCCATAAATCAGAAACATACCTCTTCAGTGTGGACAAGAGAAATCCATCCAGATCGAGGCAGGGCTCTGTTTCCACGCCAACCATGCTGCCTGCAAATGCAAAGGGTGCTGTGACAGGCCATGTGGGTTTTAGTGGGATTCCTTTTGTGACCACCATAATCTCTTTCGTTGTTATGTGGTAGCCACTGTCTGCTGACTTGGGTTTCACAGCTAGGAGGCATGATCCACTCGTTTCTCACCTCAGGTTCTCTTGTTTATACTACTACATTTATATTTATACTATACTGCTTCAGGAAAGGTGGCTGTGCAGGGTGATGGCTCTGCCTGCTTGTAAGTCTGCAGGGAACTTCAGGAGACTTTGGTTTTCCTCCAAAATGTTGATTCTGCCTGGGGAAAGGAGACCTTGTTTGTAAATTAGATGCTCAGGGAACTCATATTTTTAAATTCTCAGGAGAGGCTCCCACAATAAATAAATCTACTTTTAATACACAGTTACATCACCACCTTTCTTTTTATATTTAAGTCTGGTCCTGTGGAACGTGTTTGCACTGAGCAGTTAAGAGGAAGTTATTCCTGTGATCTTGTGCTTGGTAAGGCAGCTTGGAGGGAGTGTTTTCAACTGCACCTCTGCCCCACTCCCTTTCGTTTCCATACCTGAGCTTGGTGTGGGCAGGTGTTTTTGTTTTCACAACCTCATGTCAGGTTTGTGGTTCCAGCTTCCTTGCCTGCAGGCTAGCACCGTGATTTACTATTGCTCCTCACCATGATCTCTGCTACTGGCAGTGCTGTAAGCACTTCCAGCAAACAGGCCTCAGAAGAAAATAAAATGCAGGAGGTTGTGAAAGAGCAGAGGTGCTCCCTTCATCTCCTGGTGGAGCAGGAAATAGGCAATAAAAGTCAGCTCTGAGTTTTTGCATCTCTGGTGGAGAAGGTCACAAACTTCCTAGAGTAAATGAAGGTTTCCCACAAATGAAATAAAGGGAGGATGTCAAAACACAGATGCTAGGTAGAAGCATGGAAGTAATTCAGCAAACCCAGGAGTGACCATAACTTTGTATTTGAATCCTCTGAATTTAGATTATGCTGCTTTTTCAAAGGCAAGCTTTTGTGAGAGTGGCAGACACACCCACATAAACCACACACTTATTGAATACCCTACATCAATGAGCATCTTCATTTGAGCCCCTTCACTGTCATTTCAGGTTCTGAAATGCTAAATGCAGGTTCTTTGCTAGAGATCCTGCTCAGCTTCTGCCCACATTTCCAGTCACCTGGCTGTTCTTCAGTTAAGCCTCCCAGACTCATCATAAACATGAGTTCCCAAGGCAAGCCAAGATCCATGAAGGGGTGGATGCTACAATAAGAAAGAACAGCCAACATAGGTCCTTGGAATCTTTGGGTCCTTGGAAGGGATGAGACCTAAGGGTCAAGTCACAGTGCAATCAGCTCTGATTATTCATAGGTGTCCTGGAAACAGTCACAAACTTTGTATAATGAGTTTGCAAATGAGGTCGTGTGAAGACATTGAACATTTCCAGGCACCTGGTTGTTCTCCAGTTAAACCTTCCAGACTCCCTGATCATAAGCATGAGCTCCCAGGGCAAGCCAAGATCCATGAAGGGGTAGATGCTGCAATAAGAAAGAAAAGCCAGCATAGGTCCTTGGAATCTTTGGGTCCTTGGAAGGGATGAGACCTAAGGGTCAAGTCACAGTGCAATCAGCTCTGATTATTCATAGGTGTCCTGGAAACAGTCACAAACTTTGTATAATGAGTTTGCAAGTGAGGTCGTATGAAGACATTGAATAGTGTCACTCGATGGACATATGGAAATGGTTTATTGAAGAGTTGACAGGGACGTCACCGGGTGTGATTTATATCTCATTTCACCTCTGTGTTCCATTTCTTTCTTTAAAGAGTTATTTTTAGAAATCAAGCCCCCATTTTACTTGCATTTCATGTTATTTCAGCAGCTCTGTGTACTGCCTCTCGTGCTGGCTTTCTGGCTCCTCACAGTGCTCACACACTTGCTGTATAAGAAACATTCATGGCCAAGCAGAGACAGCATGACTAATATTTAGTGTTATAACCTCAAAAGTCCTTTGTGGATTTAGCTGCCATCTTTCATATCTGCTGTGTTGGCTTCATTTTCTTTGGGAATGCCAGGAACACTATCCACTTCATGTAAAAAGATTCAGGATCCTGCTCGAACATGAAAGGTCTCTTTAGCTGGTACTCCAAGTTTCAGAGGAAACCATTCTGCTCTTCAAAGAAAGGGTTTTTTTTCATAAGAAGCATTGGCTTGACAAGTCAGGGCTTGGGCTATGACATAAATGAACACAGCACTCTGGTGAGATCTGCCTTGCCAGTCGGAGTTGGTACATGATGCAACCACAGCCAGGTTTAAACCTCTATTAAATTAAATTTGCCTTGAAATGTAGCAATTATCCCCAGACTCTCCAGGGATGTGGACAGATCTACATTGCTTGGTACTTCAGCTGGGAGGGTTTGCTTAGAAGGAGATTTTATGAGAAAACTGTTACCCTGTGCAATTGGTACCTTTCTAAGTTTTAGTATTTATGCCAACTGTCTTTTTAGGAAAGCCTGCTGGAAAAGATATTAAAAACAGTTAAGAACTTAATAAAATCTACTGCCCATCCCAGCACACTCATAACACAGTTTGACCCTTTAAAGTCAGTTGGCCACAGGAGACACTCTTTTCACCTGTTGTCATGCTGCTATGTCTCTAAAGATGTCAGAGGTGCAGAACCTCTGACATCAAAATGGAGAAGGGAGCCCTTTAATGCTCCTCCAGCAGTAACATCTGTGGAGCATGTGGTGGTGTAAATAAGAGTGCAGCTTAATAGCTAGTCTTTCCTTTTTTTCAATTCTTCCCTGTAAAAATCACAATGAAGGGAAGATGAAGAGAAGTCAAGTTATCCAATACTTTCTGAGCTGCAAGCCCAAAACCGACAGCTCTGACCTGGAACATAAGGCTGGAACATATTGGGAGGCAGTGTAGGGAGAGAAGCAGTGATCTGCTAAAGAAGTCTTTGCTAGAATAAACCGTAATAGCTTGTTGCTAAAGTCAGTCATTGCAGAGACATTTGTATTATCATTTACAAATATGTGGATTCAAAAGGTACTGTGATGATTTCCATCCTTTTTGTACCCCTATTCCTGGCTTTGATTCTGTCCTGGGAGGTGGCCTCCTTTGAAGTTTTACATCCTCCTTCTCTCCTAACAGATGGGTGAGATTTTTTCACCCGTTGGTATGATGAGAACCATTTGATCCCTTCAGTGTAACAGACTGTCTTGCAGGTTGCTTTTCACATGAAAAACATGCATTGGAGATAAGTTTGTATTAAAATATGCTGCTTTCCCATTCAGGGTTTGGGATTGACATAGCTTGCAGAATGTCCAACTGGGAATGGCAAGGAATATAGGCTGGGCTCTGCACTTCCTAAATCAAGACTGTATGTCTCCTGGTCTTGCACTGAAGTCCTGGGAATATTAAAATACCAGAACTCTCTTGGTGCTTCCTGTATTGTGTTTGGTTATTTTGTCAAGTGCCAGGTTATTAGGACAAATTTGCACTTGGGATTTGTGCCAAACTTTGTCCCTATGGACAGTGCAATGTATTATTAGATTTCTTAAGAGTGCCAAATCCTGGAAACTGTTCATTTGGAAAATTGTTTAACAGATTGCAAACGGTGAATAAATTATTGCACAAGGGAACTTTTGAAAAGCATCTTGAAACTCCTGTGGTGGTAAATTTTCAGCTCAAGAAATGGAGCATTTACAGGCTCATGCTCTTGCAAACTGAACCAAATGCTTGCCTGGAAACTGTGTGAAGGAATTAGGACTTTTACTCTCTTTTTTTAATTTAAATGTAACAAAGTATCGTTCACAATTTCTATAACAGAGTAAAGATGAGGTTTCTCTCACCTATCATTACCAGTAATTGATTGATTTGTCTAGACCTGATTTCTATTTCCTGGCTGAGTCTCATTGGTGTAGCTTTTTCCACAACATTCTGAACATTTGTAAAACCTAGTTTGGAACATGAGGCAAGGAAATGATTTTGGTGTGGCCTCTAAACAATAAAGGATGTGGTGACAATGTGTTTCATACTTGTGAGCTCAGCTGACTTGGTGGGGCACATTTGATAGTGTGCTTGGCATTTCGTAGCAAGAACAGCCCCCAGTGGTCACAGCTCTTAGCACTCACTGCTTGCTGTTATAAAAGTTGTCATTAAGCTGGGATATGAGCTGTAGGCTTCTGGGAATGTTCCTCAGCTGATTTATTGACATTGTTGTTCTTATCCCCAGGTTCTTGCTCTGGCTTTCTTTCTCATTCTCCCATTTTTTTCTTTTCTTTTTTTTTTTCCCCCCTTCTCTTATTCTGTCTTCTCTATGTTTTTGGTTTTTTTCTGTCAAAAATATTTGTAGAAGGTAGAGCAGTACCAGAGCAGATTATCAGAAGATCTATGATTTTGCAACACTGAAGGTCACATCCAAAGCCCAGTGGATATCCTGATTAACTGAACCCTGTGCCCTAGCTCCAGGGCCCTTGACAGCCTCTGGAAGGAGGAAATTTGCTTCTAAGCTGTACACAACATAGCTCGGCAATGCGTTGCAGCCCTGTATAGCCCCAGGACAGACTAGCTCTGTTCCTAATGCTGAATTTTTCTCTGATGATAGATTCATAAGTGGCTCTTTTTTTCTAGGAAGGGGAAGTTAGATGTGCTCTTCATTTAAGCTGTTGTGATTTTTCGTTGCAGTTGCTTTGGCCATAGGGCAGGAGGGAAGGGTTTGGTTTCAAATAGTGGCTAGAGGTGGGTGTATCTTAAAACATGTAGAGATTCAGTTCAGTTTTAATCAACTTTCAGATGCTTAGAAGACACCCTAATTGTCTGTCATCAGATTTTATAAAGACTTTTTAATTATACTGTCAATATTTTCCTGATTGAGGTTTCCTCAGATTTTTTTTTTTTCCTTTCCTTTTGATACTTTCTTAAAAATTCTGGGAAAAGAGGTTCATATTGCAAAGACTTTCCTGGCAGTGGTTTCTCCTTCTATCCTAAGAGCAGCCTACTTGAATATTGTCTTGGCAGTAATGCATGAGACTCTTCCAAATCATTGTATAGTTTTGGAGCTGAAGTGAGCACCTCAAGTTCTACTCAGAAAAGCAGCTGATTTGAAAAGAATTCTTCTTAATGTTGAAATCTGTTGAGGCTGTACTCTGAGATGAAATGCAAAAGGAAAGCACTGCCCTACAGTAACCAGTAGCCACTTAATGCAAGTACAAGTCCTGGGTCTTCTTTGAGTAAATAAAATATTGAAGCTTTCTGTATCTGAGCACAAAGTGTTATACTTTTTAAGCCATTGGCCATTCTGAGGTTTTTACTGGTTAGATGAGGTTTCTGTTTGGGTTATAAGAGATTCCTAAGAAGGGTCCTAATGAAATGGTCGAGTTTCCCAACAGAAGTTTGAGTTTGAATGAATCAAAATCTTAAAGTGAAAACGTTTTTTTTCTTGAATTCTGTTTGCGTTCTAAGAGTTTTTTTCATTCCTAAGAAGGGTCCTAATGAAATGGTCGAGTTTCCCAACAGAAGTTTGAGTTTGAATGAATCAAAATCTTAAAGTGAAAATATGTTTTTTTTTTTTGAACTTCCTGACTCCCTGTAGTCCAAAACTCTCAGTTGTGAATTTGGATTCTATCAGAAACATGGTTTATTGGTGTGCTAACACCCTATGTTGTGTTTGATTCATGCAGAAGTGAAAACCCGAAATCTGCATCAATAGGGGCAATTTACTGGAGAATAGAACTTATGATTATTTTTTTTCTGATTTGGAAGTCTAGGAGAATATCTAAAATACAAGGAAGCTGGTACAGTGATCCTCCAAGGCAAGGAGATAATCTTTCTTGGTAACAGCTTCAGAGTTTTTATTCCAGTAGCGTGAACAGTATGACGGTAGTTCATAGCAGAGAGTTTGCTAATTGGGAACTGCCTCTTAAATTGGATGGCTAGAAAAGACATGATTAAAAGCTCTCACTTAGTGGTTTTACATATGGTTCGTGCCTGTCTGTCTGTGCTTTCAGATGATTCGAGGACCAAGTGTAAATCTGAACTGAGGTGTCAGTGAGAAACGAACCCTTCCGTATTACTCAGCCTTGAAATCTTGAAACTGGCCTTTCATTTTTGTCTAAATCTGTCCTGGAAAGCAGTGGCTAATAAGCAGCACTCGGAGGGGCTGTGTGGGAAGGTAAGGCAGCCCTCTGAAGGCCTGCTCCTGCCGGGAGACAAAAGGAGGTGCAACCTGAGATGAGGACTCGGGAGCTTAGAAGTCACAGCATCCCTTGTGCTGCTCCAGGCGTGAGTTATGATGTGGGGGCTTTTTAATGAGTAGTGCTTGCTGACTAGTTCTGGCTTGATGTGTTTTTGTGGGTTTTTTTGGGTTTTATTCTTCTCCTGAGGTGTTGTTTTTGTTGTTGTTGTTGTTGGTATTACTATCCAAGGGGGTTAGTGATCTTCAGCATGAGAAGGCAGGACCTGCAGAGCTAAGAAAACAGTTGTGTTTGGAAGGAGGATTATTTCTTTTCCTCTCCTTTAGTTTTGAACTGCCATTTTGTTTTAGGGAAGGTTAGGCTGGGATTTAAATTAAGGGTGAAGACAGCGATTTGTTTTGGTACTATAAAATATATTGGGGGGGTTTGGTAAGAGACAAAGATAGTCTCTCTTTCAAAGATAGTTTGTTGTTTAACAATGTGGTCTCAGTTATTCAAATGGTATTTGTGAGAATAGTATAAAAATTGCTAGTTTGGGCTGGAAACCTTTTTGTTTTAAGTTGGAGTAAGTGTGGATTTATCCAGTAGCTTGGTGGTTAAAGCATTCTTCTGTGATGCAGAAGACAAAATATGGGTTCTGAGAGGCTTTGAAAGCATGCATCCTTACATTGAATCAGATACAAAGTGGGCTGAACTCAGTTTACACCCAGGCCAGGTACAAAGCTTAACCAAACAGGTTGCAAAATATCTGGCAGCCAACCTGCAAAAACACTTTTTGCACAGACAGATTCTCAACACACCATTCTGAGGTATTCTCTGAGTCAGTCACTTTGTGGCTTTTCCAGCAATACAGCACTTGCATTCTGGGCTGTTTGCTCTGGTCTTTGCCCTTGCCTTCTCCATCAACAAGCACATCCTACAAGCTGACAGGTTCTTCTCCTCTCAGCTTCTTCACCTGAGACCGTGTTCATGCAGGATGGTCATGTTTACCCAGAGCTGGTGCTGCAACATGGCTTGATCCTCTTGCCTACCTGTGTGTCTGAGTTAATGACAGTATTTCAAACCATGGTTTCTAAGTGGGCAAGATGTGCAACAGTGATACTGTCCCACTTTCTTTATTTAGTCTCAGCTTAGAGCTTCTTTTCAGCTCTCTACGGGCATACCGATGTCCAGGGTTTCTGTGAGAAATAAGGACTGGTAGTGAAAAGGATCCTTAAATTCTGACCCAGCTGTGTTTCTTTGAGAAAAAAAGATCAGAAAATAATGGACCCTCTTTGGGGCTTCCTATTTGGCTCAACTTGAAAGTCAGTATGGGTAGGCAACTCAAATGGGCCATACTTCTTGTGGTCCTCATGCAACCTCTTGACATCCCCAAAGCAATCCTCCCTCAAATGGTTTCTCACCTCTTCGTTGCAACCCTATTGGCTTTGTCTAGATGGTTTTGTTCAGGTATGTTATTTTTTACTGCCCGTTTCTGATGATGATATTTTGGGATCACCAAATGTGTATTCACCATCGTTAGCGGCTTCTTCTCATGTTATTTGTTTCATGTGCAGGGAATAGCAACCAGATTGCAAAATAATGAGCTACCTTGTGTATTTCAGAAACATACCCCTCGCAATATGCATTTCAATGATTATCGTCACAGTTGGCTATGTGTTAACAAACGTGGCTTATTTCACTACAATCAGTGCTGGGGAATTGCTGCTTTCAAAAGCTGTAGCAGTGGTAAGTCACAGAAGAAAAAATACAAAGCTATATCCCTGCTGCAGTCGTGTTTGTTGATATATTCTTATTTCCAGGGGAAAAAAATTGGAGGGACACGTCCAGTCAGGCTCATCTATGGCTCCTGTTTTATGCCACATATTAGCATCCCAGTGAACTTAGACTGATTTTTGACTGACGAATGGGATTATCTTTAAGGCCATTAATAGCATTTGTAATCTCATGTTAGACCACATTCATTTAACTGATAAAGTCAATAGGACTTAAATTTTATAGCCGTGTACGTGCTTGAAAAATTCCATGGTAAATTCTATTCTAGGCTGAGCTCCTGGGAAGCAGGAAACACAGAGAGCTGTGGAAGAGGGAGCTCTGAACTGTCTTTTGTAGCAAGAAGCTGTAATGTCTCTGCACAACGTGCGTCCCGAGCACTTAGGAAGGGAGTTGCTGTGATTACTGGAGTTCATTTGGGAAGGAGTTACAAGGCAACCTGGCTTGGAAATACTGCTTTGATTGTTCTGGCTAGATTGTGGCGATGACACTGATTTTTATATTTATGGTATTTACTCAGAATGAGGAAATAAAAATTTCCATTTCCTTTCCAGTAGTGACAGTGCCTGTGGCTATTTCAATTGACATGGCATTTTAAAAATGACCAAATTCTGTAGCTCGTGGGAGATTTAGAAACAACATTTTGCAAACCTGAAGAAAACTGCATGTCTCCTGTGGTGCCCCAAACTCCAATTAAAGCTCTTCTGGTGACCTAGATCAATAAAACATGAATGGATAGACTATATCACTGGGTAGCATCAGCTAAGTAAAATGAAGGCTGTAATAAGAAAAAAATTAGTTATGCAGATCAGACTTTGATCTATTCAGAATAGGTTTTCTTATTTGGAGTCATAATGGTCTAAACTGATATAAATCAGGGCCTGATTCCACCTCCCCAGCATTGCCTCAACTGGCAGTCTTCCATGTGCAGTCAGGATTAGGGGTGGGAGACCTCATCAGCAGTAGCCTTGGGATCACAAAATAAGAGGTGACAAATGCACTGTCACAACTTTCAGGGAGGGACACAGTAAAGGGATATTCATAAAAAATTACTGTACTTATTAATGTTTTGTTAATAGAGTAAAACGACTTGAATTGTTTATGGAAAAATCACTGCCTGTTTCTCTCTCCTCCAACAGACCTTTGCTGAACGACTGATGGGAAGCTTTTCTCTAGCTGTACCAGTATTTGTTGCTCTCTCCTGCTTTGGATCTATGAATGGTGGCATTTTTGCAGTCTCCAGGTGAGCATTGCTGGGGCTGGAAGGCATGGGATATACACTGAAGATGAGGAAGCAAGGGGAAGGGAAAGTAGGATTCGTTCCTTCAGCAGAATGACTCTGATGTTTACCACATGTGGGGCTTTTCTTCACTTTGTTCCTGTTGAGTTCAGTATCTTCTTATTAGAACTCTTTGGTTTAGAAACAGAACCCTCTGGGCATAGCACTTAATGGCTGCTTTGTTTCATGGGAAGGAGGGAAAACTAGAGGGAAAATATTAACTAATTCCAAAGACTGATCACAGTGCAAGGTAAGGAGGGGACACCTTCAGAGATGACTTTGATTTCTGCGTCTGGGCTTCTCCTGCTAGTCTGTTCATTCAGAACACCTCAAAGAAGCCTAAGAAGTGCTGCTGTGCTCTGTGACTTTCATGAGCCGCTTTGCCTCGTCCCAGTAATGAGCACATTTAAAGTCTGTCCACATTTATTTCCCACCAGGATGTTCTTCGTTGCATCCCGCGAGGGTCACCTTCCGGAAATTCTCTCCATGATTCATGTCCGCAAGCACACTCCTCTGCCAGCTGTCATTGTTTTGGTAAATCATACAAACAAATGTTCCTGCACAAGAATTCCTATTACAGGCTTGCTCTGGAGGATTGGAACAGAATTTGGGCACTGCTTGAGTCTTGTTTATTAATGTGGACGTGGGCTTCGGGCAGGGCAGAGGACAGGAAGGAGAGGAATGAGATTTGGGAGTTGTTCTTATTCTATCATCATCTTACTACCTTGTCTGTAGCACTTGACTGCCTACTGCTGCAACCTCATTCATGTCTTATTGCCCTTCATTTCAAAGGACCCACTAGTGATGAACTAGTTGCCTTTCAGAGAAGCAAGTTCCAGTTAAACAAACAAACAAAAAAGGGATTCATTTAACTGAAAATGCAGCTAAACACCAGCATCTGGGAGCACCCTAAAGGCTCATTATACCACCTTATAGTGAAAAATGCAAACAATTATGCACTAAGATAATGGAAAGGGAACCCTCCGAAGTGCAGTGTAGCTGTGATTAAAAAATGAGAGAACGTGTGCTTGGGCAACAGTCTGTGAATTGTCTAAGGAAAAGCACCAGTATTATAGTGGAAATCCTATTAATGACTGCTAAAATAGCAGCAGAGCTAAATGTTGGCCATGTGTTTGCATTGCAGAGTAATTTGTATGGTAAAATGTTAGGACGAAATGTCAAAATACCAATCTCAAACCTCAGTTTGTGTAATGCCAGGAAGATTTTTACTGAACTTCAAGTTTTAACCATGAGTGTTCAGCCTGATTTTGGGACCAGTGACTGTAATGGATCTGGACAGACCTCTAGTAGCCACAGCAGATGACACACATCCATGAGTCTACGCTAGTAAGGTCAGATGCTCTTGCTGGAATTTGCATCAGTTTTTGCTATAGAGGCCCATAAGCTAACTTTTGAAGCATCAGCTGAAGTGTTGGACTTTATATATGCACATACAACCAGCCATAGGCTTCCAAATTTTGAAAATTAGGCAGTGTGATTATGATGAAAAGTTTTATTAGAATTCATGTCACATAAACATTTACTTTGCGTTTCATTTGGTTTTTTTGGGGGGCTGAAGTAGTCAGACCTTTTGGGTAAATTTCATCAGCTCTTTTCTGTGGAATGAAATGCACAAAATGCATTGTGCTTTTTTTTATTTATTTTTTTAAAATTTTTTTTCCTAAAAGCTGTTTTCTGCTATTGCATCTGGTCCTGTTACACCAGTGCATTGACTTCCTTTGAAAACATCACATTCTCATATGAAGATGGGTTTCCTTCAGAGACTGTAATTCTTTTTTTCCTATCTTATTGCAACTAAAGTAACTGCATCAGTACTCTGCATTTTAGAATTTTTCTATTTGATTTCTCCTACCAAAGTCTACACACTGTAAGAAAGGAAAGAGCTCTTGAGAAACTGAGCAAATGAGCACGTTCAGTGATTGAGACTTGTTAAATTTAAAAAAAAAAAAAAAATTTTAGAAATTAAGAACTCTGTTTATGTATGTATGTCCTAATATTTGATAGATGCATGTGTAGCAACTCCAAGAAATCATACAATTTGTAAACCCACTTTAATTCTTTTTTCTTGGTAGGTTTCCTTCACTCTCTGTGGCCCTTTCTTGCATTATCATGCGTGTAACTCAGATTTTAAACTACCAGGGGCTGAGTCTATATAGAAAAAAATCTTGCCCAATATAATTCAGTGGTAAAACTTCCTTTGACCTTTACAAAGAAGGAGTTTGCTTAATATCTGTGTGTAAAGAACCATGCACTTTGTAAGTCATTAGAGGTGGGAAGCCAGAGACCCATATTTGAAATATTGATTGCTGTGGTTCAAATCCATGCTCTCTTCACTGGTTTGAAAACAAAAGAGGCAGAGGCTGTGAGTCTAGATAACTAAGACAAGTTAGTTTTCCTCACATAAAGATTTAGCCTAATGTTTTACTGCATGTGCAGTTGATTTGACTGTTGGCTCATTACAAACCTAGACAGGCTGTCATTACTAGAATCTTCCCTCTTGCTGAACCATAGGGGCTGCAGTGAAGTTGACTGATTCCATACAGACTACCCTACAGAGCTGATCCAAACTACAAATATTCTGCTTTTGTCCAGATTACCCTGAAAGAGATCCCTGTAACCTACACTGATCATCTATCCCAAGGCACGATGCTCTAGTTTCATAAAATAAAACTCATGAGCTTTCGCCTGCCTCACAGAAGCTCTGTATCTCAGGACAGCTCTTTAATGATGAAATTCATTTATTCTCCCATCCCCTTTCCTTCTTGCTGTTCAGTAGCCACCTGAGTGACAGCTAAATGCTTCTCTCTGCTTAGAAAAGTTTACATTTCCAATGTGCAATGAGCCTGCACCCTGCAAGCCTGAAGGGTGTGCTGCAAACACAAGCTGGTGGCAACCTGGTGTGCCCAGCTGGCATCCTGTGGTGTAGCTCCCCTTGACCATGCCCTCTTTGCTGAGGTCCTCTCTTGCAGCCTGGGGGATTGTAAGACTTCTTCCTTCCCCAAGACACCTCTGCTTCCATATGATCCAATGTGACCAAAATTTGACTGCTCTTATCACTCGTGTCAGTGATGAGCAAATAAAACTTCAGTGGGTTGATGTATTTGTCAGATCCATGTCCCTCAGGTAGCTCTGTGAAAGGCTGTGCTGCTCAATTTTCCAGTTTTTTTTTCTTTTCCCCTGTGGAAAAATTTGACGTCGCTGCTGTAAAATAATAGAGATCAGCCCACTAAGCCCCTCTGATGTTCTGAATTTCTTTTGCAGCATCCTCTCACGATGATAATGTTATTCAATGGAGATCTCTACAGCCTCCTGAATTTCCTCAGTTTTGCCAGGTGGCTTTTTATTGGACTGGTAGTTGCTGGGTTGATTTATCTCAGATATAAACGGCCTGATATGCCTCGTCCTTTCAAGGTAACCTCTGCTCTCCACTGTTTTACATGAATCCTTCTCTCTCCTATCTATTGTGTAGTCAGACAGTAAAGGAGCACTTTCTGATGTAGAAAGCTAACCTCTTTTTTTTTTTTTTGAGAAAAACAGAGTGAATAGAAAACAGTCTTTTGCACTGAAAGGTCTCTGAGTGTTTTCCTGCAAGCTCCCCAGCACCACTCTGTCTGCATTCCCTTCTGGAAGAGAATTCTTGCCTATTCCCTGCTGCCTGGGGGGCAGTGAGTGAAGTTCCTGTGGCAAAGTGAAGGTGTTTGCTCAGTTTTACCTTTCTGTAACACTGAGGCAGCGTGATGCAAGTTGTGTGAAAATACCTCTGGTCCTGTGCAGTCCTATAGGCTTCACTCTGCAAATATCAGGGTTACATGGGCCAACCTGATTTTCAACCAGTCCTCTATTTAATGTCTCTTTTGATAGAGGCCTGAATAATTTTGCCACCAGAATTCACGTCAAACACAGGTATTAAAGTTAAACATTTATTTCATTCCCTATCCAATATAGAACATGTTAATTCAATGTGCAATTGTTAGTGCTGTTATTATGATAGTTGGGACTTGCAATGGATTTGCAGACACAGTTATTGTGAACCCAGAAAGAAAATGCTAATAGTCTGGCTCATTGAACAGTGACTGTTTTAGTCTTGGTTCTGCCATTCTTCTTGCTTATTGTAAGTAATATCTTACAAAGTAGGTTATTCCACTTTGTATCCAGAAAGATAATGTCCATCCTGAAAAACAATGGAGGAATCTATCCCTATTTGTACATTGCCAAGAAGCCTATTTTATGAAGAACTAAGAATGTGCACTGTTGCATTCTTGTAGGTATATCTGTAAATAAGAAGGTCAACAGCACAAACTATTTTGCTTTGATTTAAAAAAAAACAAAAGCATTGGCAGTGCACAAAAGAAGAACTGTAATGCTTCAAGGCATGAAAGGAAGAGAATAATCTCCAAGGAATTCTCCATTACACTGAACGCCTCTCAGGCCATGCCTGTAGGCGTTTCCTTCAGAGCTAACATAGTGATTGTATTGGTGTGCTTGAAAATGGAGAGAATTAATTTGATATTGTTATTTTTTGTACTTTCCACAGTGACACTGATAACAATATCAGTCATACAGTCAGAAAGTGCTTTTTCACTAGCTGTCAGCTGCATAACGCTATCAAATATCTTTATCACTAGTCAAATTGGTGTTTAATTTGCTCTCTTCCTGCTGGATTTTGATTTTTACCTTAGGAAGAAAATCAATATGTTCTTAATAGTTTTAAAAGGTGACTTGAACTCCTGGTTGTGTTTTAAAATGTTTTCTAATAGGTAATTATCAAAGAGGAAATCTTTACTGTGGTTAGAGCTGCTTACTTATTTACTGGGGGAATTAGAGCTAAAGGACTTTTGCAATGTAACTTATTTACAGCCCTTACATTTGAAAGGATGTAAAACACTGTAGAGTTTTAGTGTGTAATTAACAGACTTCTGTGGTACTCACTGCACAGCACTCTGCATAGCTTGGTTTCTGCAGTCACTAACATTTTGTGTGCATGTTCTAGGTACCCATATTTCTCCAGAACTTTCCTGTATTGCTGGATTTTATCCGATTTATGTTCTGTGAAACGTTAAATGTCTTAGTCCTTCAAAACAAGGGCAATGTAAAGTAATGGTTCTTTGTGTGGTTATGTTCCAGGTGCCTCTATTTATTCCAGCTTTGTTTTCCTTCACTTGCCTCTTCATGGTTGCACTGTCACTTTACTCTGATCCGGTGAACACAGGGATTGGATTTGCAATAACCCTGACTGGAGTTCCTGCCTACTACCTCTTTATTGTATGGGATAAGAAGCCAAAGTGGTTCAGAAAGCTCCTAGGTAAGTTCCAGTGGGACTTCTCTTCTTCACGCTGACTCTGGGAGTTCCTCAGGGCTCCTTGTGTTGTGAAATCCTTCCAATCTATCCTCCCAGCTGCTCTGAACTGAGGAAGATAATGCAAGTTTCTTTTGGTGCATTCCATAGCATTGCTCTGCTGGTTACAGTCAAAATCTGCTAACTAACAAGACATGTTACAGCAAGCCCATTCTTCAGCTAGTGATTGACTTTATTGACTGCATGCCTCTCCCCCTGTCCCCCTTTGCCCTCCCTCCCTCTCCTCCAAACCTCTGATTCCTTTTAAATCACCCATCTCCCTCCCCTGGCTGTTGACCTATACTAACAGGGACAGTAACACATTCCTAGGAGAATCAGTTTGGAAACTTAAATATCACAGTTGTGGTGAAAGAATGGGCTTGGTGCTCCCTGCTTGAGACCATGTGTCTGTGGGTTACCAAGGAATATTTGGAACAGGACAGGTTCAGGCAGGCTTCATATGGGGATGGTGTCCTTAGCAGTGGCTCATGACAAAGTGATAGCAAAATACACTGTGCTTGACACATCTCTGTGGAAACTGTTCCTGTGCTTCGTGAATAACAATGATTGCATCACTTGGCTGTAGTATTTCACACCCGAAATACACTGAGAATCATTTTTATCTAATTTCTTTAAGTTTTTGGAAGCATTTGTGGAAGTTCTGATGTGTTGGACAAGGGTTATTTAGAGCATAGAAATTAAACAGAAGGCAATATCATTTATTATAGCTCTGTAGTCTTCTCTCTTTTGTCACTTAGCATGATAAGTTGCCCAAATGGAGGTAATATTCAAAACACGAAACAAGAATGTAGGCAAAATATTTGAGGAATGATGGATCATTTATTAAACAAAACATAAAGAAATCTCTTGTGCTGCAAAACAAAAACTCAACCCATGAAGGTTTTCAAGTAAAAATAGTTTATTTGTATAGGTGCTGAATCAAAAATGCACTTTATTCTCTCTGCTTCAGTCTTAAGGGATGATTTAAAATAAGCTCCTCACAGTAAAAGCATGGAGATTTATATGTATCTTATTATACTACAACCTTTCATATGTATTTTCTCTATATAAATATAGGTAATATTGTTATATCCTATTATAGGATTCATGAATTTCCCTCTCAATTCATGCTGGGAAGTCCATAGACAATAGGGCAGAAATTATTTACAGGAAAAGATGTTAGTTTAAGGCTAGCACATGCTATAGTCCTCTTAATTGTATATCCATAAAGTTATAAATTACTTGCAGCATCCTGGGAGTGGGTAGAAAGCTCCAATGCAAATGAAAACAGCTGTATGCAAAAGGAAACTCTACTGGGGCTAGTTGGGGGGTTGTCTATTTATAATTCTTAGCTTTGACATTTAGGGAGGAGGAAATCTTCCCTTATCAAGCCCAGGAGATTTTGAGCATTTTCTGTGAAGTCTCAGAGGTTTTGGAACACCGTTGCTTGAATCTCTGGCCACAGGATGCCAGTGTTGAACTGCATTCCTTGGGTGAGAGAAAAAATATTCTCTTTAAGGTAGTCTGGGTAGATGTGAAACTTTTTCTGCCAGCTGTACAATGAAGGTGAATCTTCTAGCTTTTCAGATAACACAAAATTCTCCTCCTAGAATTAAGGCCTGGTGCTTGTGTAATACCTACGGATGGAGACAGTGTACTGGCTCAGGGGGGAGAAAGCAGCAAATGCCAGTCAGTGGGTAAAACAGCTTGTTTGCTTTGCAATTATTATTCCCAAAATAACAACAGTAATGAAGGAAAACTGGTGCTGACAGTTGTGGGGTGGAACAGAGTGGAGATTTACTTGTTAAATAATTCTTTATTTATTTTTTTTTTTCCCCTAGAAGAAGCAATAAACCTTCTGTGTGGAGTCATTAAACTGGCATTATTTTGTGAGTGTTAAGGGAGCTTCATTGTACAGCCTGAGAGCATATTTTAAAGGTATTGAATGAGGATAAATTCACTTAAGGTACCTCTGTGAGATATAGGAAGGAAAAGTCATTGAGCAGCTGCAGGCTTAATACTCTAACCTTGAAACAACATGCATTAGGTGTATATAGGCATGAAAGAGTAATTCCAGACATGAGGTAAAGGACAACATGAAAAAATGGAGTTGTCCTTTAACAGGTAAATTTTTGCCAGATTAACTGGGCAATTTTCTTTGAGGAGATAACTGATTTTTCTAGGCAAAGGAGAATGTGATAGATCCAATCTACTCAGACTCCAACAAAGCATTTTGTGTAGTACCACAGGGGGAGTCGAAGCCTGTTAGTCTGGACACAGCATCCTGCTAAGGTGACTATTCCCAGGCTGCTCCATCTGTGCAGCTCAGCACAGGACCAGGGTGTTGTGGGGCTCTCTTTACTCATTTGCAAGGTCACCTCGTTGGGGAGTTTGACTTGTTCAGCTGCCTAGAGGTGCTTTGGAGATGAGAGATGATGGCTGCTCATAGAACCTCCAGGGAACGTGTGGGATTCAAGCAAAGGGCAGCACTAGTGCCAAAAGACATGGGTACAGTCCAGCCCCACATAAGACTAGACTAATATCCAGAAGAGGTTTTGTAAGGATCAGAAGAAAGTGATGAACAGCCAGAGTGAGTAAAAAAGACCCAGCCTGAAGATGAAACCCATTGATGAAAGGGGTTTCAGATTTGTTACAGGCCTCAAATGCATTACCCAAAAAATGCTCTCCAAGGCTGGACATCTTTGTTCTAAACATTTTGACTGCCCTTAACAGCATTTACATTGCCCAATCTCCTTACCAAATTACTGTGTGGGACAAAAGGTAACTTCAGAGTTTGTGGGGTTAAGAGGGTGGTATTTTGCAGTGAGAATGACATTTTTTCTCTCCTCTTCCAAAGAAATTTTGCTGTAGCACCCGTTGTGCTGGGATGAATAATTTTCAGCTCGTACAGGCTTCATTTGACCTCCACTTTCTTGCTTTTTGTAGAACTAATGTGAAAATGAAAAAAAGTCAAGCCTAGCAAATCCTACGAAGCAGATCAATGTGTAAAAGGATGTGACACCAGCACAAAGAATACTTTTATTTGGACTTCCTCGGTTGAAAACCCAGCCTTAGACTCATATTAAAATATCTATTTCTTTACACTGGATTGAATTACAAAGAGCTTAAAAGCTGAATCCTGCTTTCTACTGAGCCTGAGCTATCTCTTTATGTAACAAAATGTCTCTTTCAGAGTTATTTACAAGCACCAGAGGATGACACTCGTTCACATAGTACATAGTGGTATATGCTCAGTTCACTTCTCTTTGTTGAGTTCCTGATGTTTAGATCTGCAGGAAATCATTTCAGCATTTTGCTGTCACAGATTTTATGTCCAGTCTTATAAGCATGCAGTAAATTGCTGCTTTCTTTCCTCACACCAGCTTTATGTGGTGCTTACGTTAGATAACAGGTCTGGGTTTTTTATAAAGGTTGTTCCCTGGGACCTATTTACAGTGAATTCTCCTCTTGAAGGGGAAAATTAGGGTTTAAAGTAGGGGGAAGTCATCTTTACTGTCATGGTATGTTAAGTTGTCTTGTTACAAATGTGAAGCTAGTCCTGTAACTTCAGGTGTTGCTCAAAGCAGAAAATATAGAGATACTGACTGCAGAAAGTTTGGAACATTATTTTTTTTTTCAGGAAAAAAAAAAACAACCTTCATACACTGTCATATCCTGAGTGTATTGCAACCAAAAAAACCAATCAAGCACTTCAGCTTCCCCCCTAACTTTTCTGATTGCTCCTCTACGGCTGCAACCCAGCACAGAGCAAAAGTGCCACGTGGGAATGGAAGAGTGGCAGCATCCACCTCCCACCACAGCGAGGGCAAGGTCTGGCTGCAGGTGGCTCTGTCCAGTTTGTCTAACAGGATATTAAAATCACAGCCAGCTCTCAAGATGTCCAGGCTCCCCCTCTGCTGCCATGCCCTTTTCCAAGAGTTGTTCTACCATGGCTCAGCTTGACAGAAAGTCTATTTCTCCTTCCTTTGCTCAGCTTGGAACCTGGAAGGGGTGGGATGGCAGGGGCAAAGCCCTGCTGGCTTCCTGCTGCTGGCTTTCCTCCTGCCCTTCACCCTGGCCACGCTCAGCCCAGCTCTGAAGTCCCTGCTGGGGGGGAGGGAGGGAGGCAGGAGGCGAACGCAGTCCCTGGTGGCTCTCAGCCTCTCTGACCCCATCAATTTATAGTCTAAGGGCAACCTGGCTTTGCACTGAACCCGTGACCTGGAGAGAAAAGCAAAAGATGGTAGAGTCTGCCTTAGACAGGAGAGCAGGAAAGAAGTTTCAGTTCAGATCTTTTGTGAGTTGCAGAGTTTTACCCTCCCCACTTTACACCGGTCTAAAACCCAACATATCACACCAGACAAGGAAATTTAGAACTTTCTCTTCCTGCATGTTTAAAATGGGTTACTACAAAAAATAGTGACGTGAAGAGTGGTAAGAGAGGGCTCTTTTACTAGTCTATATTTCTAGATGTATTTAACTGTGCCATTTATGAATCAGTACCCTAGAAATAAAACCACCAAAGACACCAGAAGGAAATAAATGTCCTGAGTGACAAAAAGGGTGAAGCTGCTTTGGAAGTGTGACATTCTTGGACCTGTAGAGCTTTGTAATCATTGTTTCCTTTTTTTTCCCCCCCCTCTGTTTCAATTAAACAGATATTGGCAGAGCTAAATTAACTTTTTTAACTCTTTCAGACATTTATTTCAACGTTGTCATTTTTTTAACACTAAGCAGTCGTGGAGAGTAGTCATGCTTTAAGACAGCCTTTAAATGTATGCAGACCTTTACTTTAACAGCTTTATACCTCCATTCCTTTCCATGATTGTTGTATATGCATAGCCTTGGATCAGAGACAAAGAAAACATAGCTATAAAGAAAAAAAAATCAGAAATTTAAATGATTTATGCACCTGGTATACACGACCACTGTGAACTGCACGTGCATGTAGGCTTATAGGAGCTCAGATAAATTTTTTGACTGCTTCTGCCTTCTCCATTCCCACTAAAATTTCCCATGTGTTTGCTCTTGTCTTTGCAGACAGGGTAACTATAACATTGCAAATCCTCTTGGAAGTCGTCCCGTCAGAGGAAGACCAGAAATCATGATTTTCATGTACACCTTTTGGCTTGGTGTTTCATTTCAACCTGAAGAAGAGGGTAGGGAGGTTTCTCACCCCTACCTCACGTTCTACAGACTGGAGGAACAAGTCATAGATGAGCTGGATACTGAGCGAGTCAGTTACCAGAACTGTATTTTTCTGATGTTGCAAACTTTTTGTTGATGTGGTTGGTTTGTAGTAGAAAGCAAGAACTTGTGTGATGAGGGAACGCATCTCTCCACTATTTCTTTTGTTACAGTGTCATGTTTTAACAAGCCGTAGGTTCGTCAGACTAGGATTTTTGATTGCATTGTTACTGAAAATAGGTTTGAGCAATGTGTAAGTAGCAGTCAGCTGTACTGTGAAGAATGTATCCTGCTTTTTATCTCCAAGGAACTCAACTCTCACCAGAGAAAGGGTGAGATAAAGCTCTGCTGAGTTTCACTTACTAATATTCTTCCTATCACTTCCTTTGGCAGCCCAGTTTGGCTTCTTTTGGCTTGCTGGGAGCCACCAGCATGCTGAGGTGGAAGCACGGTGGTTTCCACACCTTCATGGTGGGAAATCCAAGGTTTCCTCATTCCAGAGTTGTTATACTTTAGCTGATAGAAACATCCTCTAAGAGTTAATATTTCTGCCAGTAGGGCAGGAATATTTTGACCCAGGGCCAGTAATTTCATATGTGTTAAAGATTCTTTCAGTCTGGAAATGATTTCTTGTTTTGCCAGTGTTTCTTTGTGTACAGACATGTAGGTAATTCAGCAACTGAGTGATCACCTCCAAATGAGTCAAAAGATTTGAGGCTGATCTCTGTTGCTGTATGAATATTTTCTGTCTGGAAGCATATGGACCTGTGGTTTTCAGTCAGGAAAACCTGATTTTAAAGTTTTATATCACTGTCAGTAGATAGAAACGAGTACTACTTGCTGGTGGGAATACTGTATAGACATGGCAATAAATACAGTATTTTTTTATTAATCAGACATAAGGCAACCTACAACAGGTTTTTTAAAATAGGATAAAACTCCTAATTTGCACCTAATCTGTGCTTTTCATTCAAGCACATCCCAACTAACTGGGTTTTGAAACACCAAGCAACATGTGCTGTGCCAATGTCTTCTTCCCAGTTTTATCTCAGCAGAAACAGAGAAAGGCTGTCAAAACATCAAACCAAATAAAATCCATCTTCAGAATGATGTTTGAGCTATTTGGCTCAAATATGAGCTGAAGTTTTTCCCTTCTTTTTAAGATTGTTAAGATAATTATTTTTTTAAGGCTCAGAAATTCAGTCTGCTACTGTTAGTCAAAGACTACACAACCTTAAGATTGAGGTTTGTTATCACTCTCTTAAGAATATAATGCTTAAATATTGAATGCACTACTTTTTTGAGCTGTTTGCTATCAGCAAGTCAGATGTTTCATGAAAATTTTCATGGAACTAAGCAATATTAAACTTCCTAAATTGGGAGAAAAGCACAACTAGTAGCCAGACCACTACAGTAAAGGGAGACTGTGTATTGTATATGTGTTGTATATATCCATAATATCTACTGTTTAAAGGGTGTACAGTAAAATGCCTTAAATTTATGTGTTTTTCTTTCCTGCATTTCTATGGTGTCATTTCATAGAAGTAGGGAAATGGGAGTAGCTGACTATGTGGAAGAGCAGTAATTTAAGACACAGAAAACTTTTTGCAAAGGATTTTTTTCTTTGAATGTTTTCTGTTTACAGAAAAGGCGTTATTTGAAACTTTTTTAGACAAACATTTTGAGAGAGATTTTTATGTTGACTGCCTGTGTCTAATTAGTGTTTACATTTGGGTCAGAATTCTGCTTTTGAGGCCATCTTGATTCCCCAGGGTCATCGTGGAGCATCATCAGAGTACACAAACTGCATTTTCCTCTGATAGAAATAAACTGCTGGGGCCCCTCCACCTAAAACTCCATGAATAGATGATGTGTGCATGGGATCACACCAGAGATAGTCCAGAGCAAAGCCTCCTGAGCATCGATAGTGTGGATGTCAGGTTTTCAGCACCATTTCCTTCCATATATTCACTCCTATTGTGCCACATTACTTGAAAGTTTAAACTTAGGCAGTGTTAACTTCTAGAAATAAATGGGCTCTGTAAATATGACTGGATGTGGCTTTATTTTCCCGTTGTGGACTTTAAAGTTTGGAAATGTTTCTGAAGCCTGATTCAATGACTGTGTGTTTTACTAGATTTATTTCATGTAAAGGGTTCATTTGTCCCACGTGAAATCTTATGACTCATTGATTGTGAAGTTGTATATTTTAGAAAGGAAAAATAAATCCTTCAAAATAAAAAACTTTCTTTTTTTTTTATTTGAAAACGCACAGGGATTCTGATTTCAAGTTTAGTTTCTTCAGCAAATACCATCACGGTATAAAATATTGTAATTGGGTTATAAAACTGTTACACAAGTCAGTATTACAGACTTTTATTATATCTGGACATGAAGCACTTCCTCACAAATGGAGGAAAAGCAGGTTACAATTTATTTTTTTTTTAAAGCATTGAATTACTTTGAAAGACTTTTTGCAAGTGTTGTCTTCAGAGTCATAAAGGAAATTCTTCTAAAGGATAAACTTTATATATAAATTTTTCTAATTAGGGTCTGAGGTGATCAGGTCAATGAGACTACTTCTGTGGAGAACTTTTGTGGTCCTTAATTTTTTCCTTGGCCTTTGCACGTTTTCATGATTTGTTTCTGCTACTCCAGATAATCTCCTTTACACACAAGTGAGAAAGAATCTCATTCCTTTAAACATGCTGTCTGTGGCCTGAGAAAACCTGAGTGGTGTATGTTGTGTGGAATACTTCCAGATGCACCCTACAGACCTTTTCCTAGGTACTGTGCCCTTTTTGTGTCATTGTACATGGACATTTTTGGTACAAGACAAACCACACTGAGGATTTTGGGTGTGACTGGCAGCTGTCAAGTCTCAGGGGTGCTTTTTGCCATAATGGCATGGGGTTTGCAAAGCAGTAGTGACCACAGGCAGCACCTTCCCAGGGTTCACCACAGCCTCTGCCTGTGGCCAAGGAGTAAAGATGCTTTAGCAGGATGCCTGTCCCCAGCTCCTTGCCTTGTCCATCAACTCCCAGCCCGCAGCAGTTTGCTGTGTAGTGTTTTAAGTTAACCAGCATTGATTTTGCTCTGCCTTAAAATACTGTGCCATCAATCTTGGTGTTTTAGGAGGTGGCTCTGGAGCCTGCCTACAGTGGAGTGAGGTAGGTAGCTCAGAGCTGCAGCTTCAACAGCTAAACACCTAGTACCTTGTAGGAGTTTCTATATATAGATTTAGTTGTATAGATTGCCATAATATGTTCAGGTTATACTTTTATGAGAAAACTTCTAAGTGTTTTTGGAGAAGCCACTCAAAGCAGCTGTCATAACTTTTATGCCACATTTTTAAATTTTTTGTACGTTTTTCTACTTTATAAAGAAATTATTGCTGATTTCTTCTCTCATTTGTGCATTTCAGAAGTTCTCTTTAACCAAAAGACTGCTTGCAAGAAGTTCATCTGTCTTTAATTATGTCTATATAGATATAATTCTTTGTCTGAATGTGTATGCTCCTGATTTTTGATTTTCAAAGGAAAACCAGCTTTCAATTTAAGAAAATATTTTCCAAACATTATTCTACAGAAAGAGAGGTTACTTATGTCCACAGTGTAGGCAGATAATTGTGCTGATGCAAGAGGACGAAAATGACTTTCTGTAATGTTCAGTACCTCCAGAATTTTTGGTTCAAGCATTAGACATATATCAGGATCCAGACAGATTTTAATCAGTACAGGCCTTAGAAAAAATGATCTTTCTCCAGCAGGAAGTAGATATTTCATTTTTCCAATACATACCATCAAACATTGTGTTTAATGACCAGCAGAGAACCGATGGCTCATGTAGCAGAGCCTGTAGCAGGGAACACACTGCTTAAGGCTCCCTGTCTTAAACACATACTGGTGGCTCGTTGAGACTTGGCAAACTGGTGCTGAATTTCCTGCTTGCCTTCAGAAGTCTGGATATTTTTCTTGCTTGTTAGTCCATGTTTAATTTGATTTCTGTTGTTGTCTTTTTACCAAGGAGCTGCTGGGGGAGCATGTCTGCAATTGACACACCAATTCTGTTTACATTGGCTCTCTTGTTTTCTTTTCATTCAAAGAAACTTTTGAAATAATTTCTTTTTCCTTGAAGTGCAAAGACTTAAATGGATAAAACACCTTTTCCAACAAAGGATTGACTTTATCAAGAGAGAGTTTGGATCCTCTTCACATTCCTTGCAACAGGAATGTCTGCAGTGCTGTGATCTAAACCAAAGCTTTGATATTATCTAAATATCATATTGATGATGATCCAGCGTGGCTATAAAAGCACTGCAGTACAGTTGTATGCTTCTGGAGCTGATTCTTTCCACAAAACTCAAGCTACAAAACTTTCCCACTGCTAAGCTTTCCTGCAGGCCTTTTTTCTGCTCTCGGGGCTGCAGCTAGATCTCCTTTGAAAGGGAAATGCCATCCTTTGCTTTGAGGTGCACCTCACCGTGGAGGGCTGGTGCTTTGAATCCTAACAAGTGGCCGTAGCTGCAGGCAGGCACCGTGCTGAGCCTGGAGCTTGTTCTCTTCACGGGGATCCAGAGTCCTGGGTTTTAGAAAGTAGCCAGGCTAGCTTTGCAATCCCCACTCCTACTTGTACTTACAAGGTTTTATAAAATTGTTACCTAGGAATTTTGGTGTGGGTTCGCCCTCCCCCACTCCTTATTATGAGAATTTTAAATATTATGGGACAGTTTCCTAATTTTACCCCGTCCTGCTGGCTCTGCCTCAAGAAAGCCATTTGATGGAGTTTTAGCTGCCAATATCTCTTTGCCACTCAGTCATTACAGCATAATTGGATCTAAAGTATGTGTATAATTTGCTGCTAGCAATGCTGGCTTGTCTTAATTATGACATCCAGCTGATTTCTAAGGATACTAATCAAT